GTAATTGAGTAAATTTATCCTGATTGCAAAATTAAGTTCTTAAATTTTGAAATTATAGGGTTTATTTTATACAACTTTAGCTTAAAAGAGAGTAAATAAAACCCATGTTCTAAATAAAATTATAATTGCTTTTACCATAATTTTGAAAGCAAGCTGTTATCCATATTATTTTTTTTTTATACTATAAAATACTAAGAATAGAACAAGAATAATTCTTCTAAAAAGAGTAATTATTATTGAAATATTTTTATTTAGAGGACAAATATGTTTTAGTTTTATTATAGCTATGAATTAAAAAGGAATAAATTGTTTCAATTAGGATAGCAAATAAATGTATGTTAATATAATTTATAACTGAAGATGAGAAAATTATTCATTATTATAAATATATTTCTTCTTGTATAATTTCTTGTGAATTGTAAAAGCATTAAAATAAAAATAACGAAGATATCGATGTAGATTATTTGATTATCTTATATATAAATAGAAATGAGAATTAAAAATTAATATCTAGAGTAAAAATAAGGGAAGTTACCCATATATAATTAAGTAGCATTATCCTTCAATTCTTTTGATATGTTTTAAGATAATAATTTCTCATTATAATTTCATGACTTGAGAGAAGTAATTAATTAATTTTTATTTATTGATTCTCTTTAAGGATAATTATTAAAAAAATTAAATTGTTATTGAATAAAAGAAAAAAAATAAGAGTAGAAGGATAATGTGGCAATGGTTTAGCAGATATTCAAGAATATTTAACTAGTATCTTGTTTTTCAAGAAAGACTGTAGAATTTTTATTTATCAACATTTAATATAGTTTTATATATAACTCTATAAAACCTTGGCTTCAAATGCAAATTTAAGATCCATTATAGATATAATATTCACTTAATTAAAATTTAAAACTTAATGCATTAATGATATATTTCAATTTTTTTTAGAAAATACTGTTTTATAGAGGATCTAAATTTTTTAAGTGCTAAAAGCTAGATGTACCTATATAAATCAATTAATTGAAGACTCATGTTCATATGAATGATTTGCTGATCCTCTTATTTCTCTGTCATTATTTGTAATTTCAAATATAATTCTCCTTCATTTTATACATGATTTTTTATAATCAATATGCCAAAGATTTTTGATGACATTTTAAGTTAAAGTTAAGTATATAAATATGATTAAAATCTTTAATTTTAGGTTAAATTTTAATTAGGTGTCTCGTAAATATCAATTCTATAAACCTCCACTTTGAGTGCTTGCGACATTATAAGCAATTTAATAATACTTTTAATCTTAAGATATATCCATTACTGTAATCGCATTCCCTTTATTTCATTTATTATTGAAAAATAGAATGCCCTTGCTTATAAATCTTAGATTATCAAGATATCTATAATGATAAAGAATTCAATTCAACAATCTAATTATTTAATTTTATTTGAAACATTTAATTCTTTAATGAAGTTCAATTGATAATAGATACATGTTATACAATTATCTTGTTTTGAAGTAATATTGCTATTATTGAAAAAATGGATGGAGATATTTTAAAATATAGAAGATCTAATAGTAAACTGTATTGAGAGTTTCACTTTAGTATCAAAACTATTTATTTATTAACCAAACTATATTTTGTTGAATTAATTGAGAAATATCAAATTATTTTTTTGCAATTTAAAGTACTTAACCTTATTCTTTCATTATTTTTAGAAGGAAAATAGTCTTACCAAATATTATAAGGAAAAATATTAGGTTCTTAATCACTTATTGTTTAAAGTTAACTTTTCAGATGTAAACCTCGTAAAAAGAATTAAATGATTTAGTTAAGGAATGTTGGATTCCAATTCAAGTTATTGACTTAAATTTTCCTATTCGCTAAATTAATTTAAAATAAAGTAGCTGATTATTATGCTTTCAGAATTTAAATAAATAATTTGTTTTGATATCTTAAATTTCTATCACAAGATCAATTTAGTCTTTTGATAGAATGACTAACAATAAAAAGGATTAGATATAATTCTAATTTAACCTTTGCATTTTGATTGAGTAATTTATTATATTATTCAAACTAACTTTTTTTCCAGATATTTAACTGCTTATTGAATAGTTTTACATGCTAGACTCAACTCAGCATATTCAAATAATTATTAATCTTAATAAAATTATAAAATGATTCAATAATTCTAATCACTATAAATTTATTAATTTTTGCTATCCATTATTTAAAATACATCATTTTTCTTCTCCCTTTCTCTTTTCATTACAACCCAACAATTGCATTTTTTACCAAATTTATATTCTCCTTGTCTAATAACTTGATGATCCCTAATAAATTAAAAATCTTTAGAAACTTACAAAGAAAAACATTCACTCAAATCTATCCATCTTCCCTATTTTAATCCATCATTATTATAATGACCCCCACCACTATTTCATATTATTATCTGAATAAATTTATTACATTATTTCAAAACTATTGTTACATGAATATCTAAACATAGTTTACCAATGACCAAACTTTTTATTATTATTATATTCTCCTTTAAAAATAACCTAACTTTCGCTTAAATTACGATTAACTAATGCTTTACTCTTTAAAATTATCCCATAATTCTATCCACTTCCCATACTTTTAGCCTTTTTCATCAAAGAACCCTTCGCCACTATATTATTTATCATTTCTATAGTATACATATAAATAAAGCCTCTGTCATCGTCTAGCCTATACATAGAATCCCATCTATCAATTTATATACCATTTTGATATTTTCCTTAATAAATAACTTGACAAGTACTAAATTTAAATAAGAATATAATTACTAATCAAAATTATCACTTAACTCTATCCATTTCCCATTCTTCTAACCTTAATCATTAAATTATCCAGAGAAACTTTAATTGTATAAAAAAATATTGATATTTTACATTTTTTCAAAATTGTTTTCTTTGTCATATCTGAAAAGAGTTTCCCACATACCACACTTTTTTCCATTTATGTATTCTCCAATATATACAATATGAATGTAACTAATATTAAATTAATATTACTCCTTAAAATTATCACTCAAATCTATCCATTTTCTATGTTTTAAGCCATTTGCATCATACAACCCACCTCCACTAATAGTATATATTATTTAGATGTTTACGTAAATATATTCTATTCAAAAACATCCCATAACCCACATTTTTTACCATTTATATATTCACCTACATATGTGATTTACATATAACTAAATAGATAACTCTTTATATACACAGAAAACCACTAACACAAATCAATCCATTTACCATTTTTCTAACCTTAATGATTAAAATATCCACCACCACTAATAATTACAAATACTTAATTTACACTGATTACTTCATATAACTGATTCCCCATTTTCCAACCTTTTTACCATTCTGATATGCTCCTTTTTAGGTTACTTAACTATCCCTAAAATTAGAAAAATTTATATATAAATTATTGCTTGCAAAAATTATCACTCAAATCTATCCATAAGCCATGTTTAAATCCTTATAAATCATAATACCCTCCCCCTCTATCAAATATTTAATTTTTTTGATACATATCAATTTCATTATAGATATATCTCCATAATCCTCTTTTCTTGTCATTAAAATATTCCCCTATTTGATAAACTTAAGCATTTCTAATAAGATTAATAATTGTTTTTATGACTACTCTTAAAAATTATCCATAATCTCTTTCCACAAACCAATTTTTTTACCTTCCTCGGTGTATTCTCCACCAACCCCAACCATCAAAATACCATTCCAATAAGCAGACCATTTTCCAACTTTTTTTTAATTCTCCCCATATAAACCAATCCAACTTAAATATCTGATTTATTCTAAATTTGTCAATATTTATGGTTTGACAGATAAATCATGGATTGCTTCACTAAAATTAAAGAAATTTACACATTCTAATAATTTCTCCATCAACAATATATAATATTTATTGATTCTTTGTGAAATTAATTTGAATCTAAATCTTTCTAATATTTGGATTTTCAAAACAATAATATTGAAAGGAACAAAGCTCTTATGGAACTTCTTTAGGAAATACCAACTCTAAATTAAAATTTTCAGAAAAATTTTTCTAAACATTCATTTTAATAATAATATTCTCATATATTATAAATGTAATACCATTCTCTTAAAATTGATTAATTTAAAATAGAAATCCCATTCTTTTAAATATAATGGTTTAATTTATATGTTATTTAATTATTTTGAACTTTATTATTTCTATGTTATCAATTTATTAATCAATTTGATTAATTGCTAATACTTTAATTTATTATATAGTTTTATTAACAAAATTTTATGATCCTGATTTTTTTTTAGGTGAAATTATTTCAAAATTCAATTAAACTTATTTAACATTTACAATATACTAAGGGTATTTTTCTTTGATTAATGTTTAATTAGAAATGCGGAAGGTCTGAAAAATCTTTCAATTAGATGTTTAAATTTTTCTTAATTTCAAAAGTATTGACATATAAAAATATTATTCCTGAGTTAATATTTGTAAAAATTATTTAAATTTCATTCTTATTTTTTATTAATGATTCCAATTTTTAATCTAAATAAATAAGTTGAAGATGAAAAAATACTATATTGTCAAATAATCCATGCATAAATAATTAAAATTTTTAATCCTCGTTTGAAAAATAGAATAATAATTCTATTTTTTGTGAAAGTTTATACTATGAGCCATTTATAAGAGACAATTGATAGTTTTTTCAAAACTCTTGGATTTTTTTTTAAATCATTTTTTTTGTCACTTTTGATAATCCATGACACCATGATTTTGATGATTAGGCAAAAATAATTATACTTTTAAGAGGAAAAAATCTAAATAATTTAATTAAATAAACTCTTTGTTGGATATATAGAATTTGTGTATTTTTTTCAATATTATTGATAATAGACGAATTTATTCACCAATTATTGAATATTCCAATACTTTTTTTTAGATTATTATTCGTTTGATATCAAAAAAATCCTACATAAAAGAAATATACTCAACCAATTTTGAAAATGAAATATTCTCAAATTCAATCTTGATTTACAAAAGCTTTGCTCATTTCTTATCGCAAACTGTTCATTTTTTGTATAAAATACCTTGATCTTCCTTCTATCTTTAGTTAATTTAATAATATCTTCATTTAATAATTCAATTTCAAAAAACTAGAGGATCAACTAATCGTAAATTACACTTGATAAATACCTCAAATATTATACTAGTAACATAAATACACTCATTATATTAATTATGCAATTAAACAGTTCAATAAGTTATATTCGCTCAAAAGATTGAAATATTGTAGTCAGAAATGTTTTTAGATTAATGATGAAATACCATTTAAGCATTAATAGCTAGCCTACAGTGGGTCAATATTATTCATTATCAAAAATTAATAATACTGAATATTATTTGTTTTATTAGTATAATAGTAGCTTAATTTTTTAATGAAACAGAAAAAAATATTTTTCCATACAAACATAATAGATTATAAATAAGACTTACAGAAATTATTCTATGTAATCAAAAATAATTTAAACTATTAAATGTTTCATTATATTGTAAATTAATTTCTTTAATTGTCTTTTAATTAAAAAGTATCAATCTTATAAGTTAGGCATCATATTTATTTTAAAGAAAGACTAATTCATTCTAAAATATAGTTAAATAAATATTTTATGTGTATTCATATACAAATTGCTAATATAAAAAGAGAGTTTAAAAATATAGTTTACTTAAATAAATTAGTTAATCAATACTAAATATATATTTCCCATTAATAATTTATAATTAAGATAAAACTCTGATTTTCTTAAGGTAGACATTTCAAATTTGAATACACAAACAGAAAAATGATTGATAATTAATTATTAATTGTTTAGTAATTAAACTCACATTGATTAATATTTGGAGCAATATCAAAAATTGTAAAAGGTTGAATATTTGGGGGAAAAAGAAAGAAACAAATATTCATAAACATACACAAACTTTCTGAAAATAGAAGATTGATTAAAAGCTTTAGTTATGAATATTATTCAAAATTAATTTCAGGAATATTTTTCATGTCTTATTTTAATTTTTGTAAAGCAGCTCTCTCTTTTGTTTGAGTTAATTAAACAAATAGTGTTTTATTTTATCATTTTTAATTTTGTTCAAAATAAGAATACTTATCAGTTTCTAATAAATAATTAAAATCGAATTTAGTACTATTTATAATCCCAAGCTTGATATTTAATTGAAGAAAATTTGAAAAGAATTGAAGATAAAATGGGCATAAGGTATTTTCTTTGATTGAACATCTTTTTCCCAACATAAATAATTAACATACTATGCTTGTTAATCATGGATTCTTTTATAAAACTCAAGATAACCTTAAGAATTACAGCTCTGCCAACACCTATTACATTCGATTTCCTAATGGCTCTATTAATTAATCTTTAAAATAAAGAATAGGCCAGGAAATTAATATCCAGGATATGCAAAATCAAGGAACCATCCACCTATTCAAACTATAAACCTTTAATGATATGATAAAGACTTCTCAGCTATGAAAATTTTTAAGAATCAAANTTATATAACAATCATAAATTAATAAAAAGACAAATTCATTTTAATTCAATTAAAAGAATTTCAATAGATAAAATGCAATCTATTAAAAAATCATTAAAAAGCATTTCCAAATGTAGTAGCAAGAAAAATTATAATAATAGAAAAAAAATATGGAATGAAAATTTATTTTTAGGCAATTAAATCCCAAAATTAATAAAAAACATAAATTTTAACAATTATTTTAGGCAGTTTCATTGAGGGAGCTAATCAGATCGTTGGAACTATAAAAACAATGCATGTAGCTTTGGCATTATAAAAATTATTATGTTACAGATCGAAGGTCTAAAGCAATTACTTGTGATTATTTGGTTAATGTTACATTGGAAATTTATATAAAATGAACATTAATTAAATAAAAGTTTGATAAAAATTAACAAAAAAGTGTTTAAATTTATTCTATAGAAATAACAGCAGATTCAATGATAAATTTTGAAGAGTCCATTTTTTTTTTATTTATTGTAAATTAAAGGAAAAATTGATTAAATTATCATTTATATATTATCAATTTGTTTTTGAATTTTCTTTTCCTTCATATTAAGCATTGCTTAAATATTATAAAATACTTAAGTTTAAGAGCCTTCGTAATTCAGAATCTTCATGTAATTAAAACAAAATGCGAGATTTAAAAATTTCTAATTGTATAAATATTTAACATGTTAAGGTTCAAGTTGCATAATTAAATCGCTTAAATTCGTGTAGTTTTTATCTTTTTTAACAACTAATTTAACTCACTTTAAGGGTTATTCATTATTTTTTACTCCATCTAAATAAATTTGAAAAATATATAGAGAATTCAACAATATGGATTAATTAATTATTTTTGATGGAAGTAAAAATATTTTCTGAACCAATATTTATTTATAGAATTTAAATTGGCAGAATAAGATTAAAAATGTAATCGTAGAATAATGACACATAGGCATTTTTTAATATCAAAATCATCACTTTTTGAATTTAAGAATTTTATTGTTTTTAATTGAAAAAAATAATATAGTCAAAATAAAAATCTATATAAAAATCAATTTTTAGCTTAATCATTTTAATAAAATGTTGACATAATAGAAATCTTTCACTTTTACACTAATTTTTCAAACTATTTCTTCTTTATCAAAATCAAATTTCCAAATTTAGCTATTATTTTTTTACTTTGAATTAAAATTTTTTTAACTTTGTTATGAGCATAAACTAGATTAAATTTCGTTTTTCTTACTAAAATTTCAGGAATCCAAAATTCAAAATCTTTAAGCTCATGTGCATTTATTTTTGGATTATAATAATCTAATTTTACTTATTCATTCAGCTAATAGATTTTTTATCTATAGTTTTGAATTATTTTTTAAATTTTCGAATCAATCCTTTAAAAACAATCAGGCGTTGTAAATTAGAAATTTTATATATTCTTTGTAATTATCATTGTTTTGAATATTTATTATTCAACTTTTATTTTAGACATTTTATTTTTTAAATTGCGATTAACATGAATTTACTACATATAATATTTGATGTGTTTTTATTCTTAACTAGTTTTGCCTATCCTGCCTACCAACCATTTACTTATTGAGATATAAATAACTTATATTTAATATATATATTTTTTTTTTCCAATAATTAAGTATTGATAAATCATTCACTAAACAATTCTTCTTGCAAATTGAAGTTATCTCTAAAAGCTTATGACCCTAATTTATCTTTGGTTTTGTTGTTAGATTGCTTTCAATTCTTACAATTATGTATCTAAAAGTATAATTTACCTATCCTATTTGTTTGGTTCATTTTATCTTCCTCTAATTATGTTTTCAATTTATTCATTTAGTCTTTCAATTTTTATTATCTTTTATCTAATCTTTAATTAAGAGTGGTTTTAAAAAATCTTAATATTTTAGTTCTAAATAAGGATGTATTTAACTCTTTTAATTTTCTATAAGTTATATAATTTTAATACTAAATGTCTTATTGAGACATTCCTGTGAGGAGATTTTAAGAAGGCTCATAAAAATATCGATGATTGGGAGAAATAATATAAAGAACATTGATTAACCATTCTCGATTTGGGAGTTTTTCAGATGTAAATCCCAAATCTTGTTCTTATCCTAATATTTGACTTAGCTCTCTGTATAAGTCAATTTTAGTAGCGTTTCTTATCAAATAAGCAATTTTAATATCAGCCTATTTTTATGAGAAAAACTTTTTCAAAGCCACTCCAAGAAGATAATCACTTGTTACATACACATGGTGAATTAATCTAAGGCAAATAATACCCTTTTAACGCCAATCCTGTATACATTGATTTAAGTGATCCAACTATTCTATTCGCTTCTTCAATTGTCACTTTCTAAAACTAATATATAATGAAAATAATATAGCTATTTAGATCAAAGCCATTAGTTATTTTTTATGTAAAATACATTACTTGTATCCATTTGCAGTGATTATTTTTTCTTTCAATAAATATTTTTTGAAGTTCATAAATATTTTTGAAATTAAAAATTAAGAACATGACATTATTAATTACATAATGTATTTTATATCAACTTTTATAGTTTGAAATCAAAAAATATATTGTTTCTTCTAAATTATTCTATGTAGAATAAATAAAGTGGATAAATCAAACATTAAAGCAGAAGAATATTAACATTATTATAATAATAAATGGCATCTAATTCTAATAGTTGTTAATCCTCTTATTATCAAGATCTCCAAGAATCCAATAGCCTCGAGAATTAAAGTGAAAATTTGTTTGGAGTGTTATAATGTTAACTTTAGAGCAAAGTCGAGATTGGATAATCAATTATATACCATCGAAGATGCAACTTTCTATGCAATTAATATACCTTATATGCTAATATATGTTTAAGTTCAATAAAAAAAAATAAATTTCCTTTAGTAACTAAGTTAAATTGTTAACAGGCATAAAACTTGAATAATTAGAAAGTTGGATCCAATTTTTCTAACAAAACAAAGAAAATAAGGAAATAAAACTAGATGTTGAATTAAAATTATTTGATAAAAAAAAAATGCTTATCTAATCAGAAAAATGACTTAATTAGGATTTACAAAATAGCACATCTCTAATTTTACAGGGTTATCGAAGAACTAAATTTATTATAGAGAATAATAAAAAAAACTCAAGTAATGAGTTCTAAACTTAATTTTATTTTTAATAAATTCATATAGATTGGTTGTAAAAATACGTTCAAACCCAAGAAATCTAAGAACTTTGGAATTCTTCATAGATTCTTGCAGCGTTTAAACTTCATTTTTCTCTTGAAAATCAAATAATTGGAATAAAGAAATTTCGAGAATGCTTGACGAGAAATGGGTTAACTTACAAATAAATTCCCAAGCGCAGCTTTGGATTTTTTTTAAAATCCAGATTTAAAAAAGTTAACCAATATTGTATTGATCTCCTTTCTTATATCAATGATGAATTCAAAACAATTTATGTTGATGAAACAACTTTTGCTCATTAATCTCGCAATCCAAAATGTTGGTAATAAAAAAAGAATCAAAAATTTCGAAAATTAGTCACTCTTCAAAAATCTGTTAATGTAATTGGGGGAATAGGTTAAAATGGCTTTTAGATGTTTTAGGTATGCATAGGAAATGTTAATTAATTTGTTTTTGGGTAATTTATAGAAAAAGCTAATCACAAGAGCAATTGAATTTAACAAAAATTAAAAATTCCTTATTTTTCTGGATAACTGTCCAACTCATTAAAGTAAGATGATAAAATAGAGATATTTAGATAATATTAATTACTTATTTTTATATTGATTTGGACTATATATATGCAATAATTCAACTACTCATCATAAAGTACAAGTATGACTTTTTTTCATCAAATCAACTAAGTTTATTTCCAAAGATGATGATGAAAAAAATTAGATTATTAATTTATATTTTTAGAATACAGTTTCATTGCTGGGGCTAATTAGATAGTTGGATCTGTGGAATCCATGTACAATACTCTCATCCTAAAAAACTACTATATGCCTGAACTAATACCATCAGTTATTTTTCTATAATTATTTGCTGAATGTAGCATTGGGAAAAATCAAATTGAAACTAATTAGATTCAAATAGGGTAATTATTAAAAAAAGTTCCTAAAACACAATTATACACTCATTATATTAATTATGCAATTAAACAGTTCAATAAGTTATATTCGCTCAAAAGATTGAAATATTGTAGTCAGAAATGTTTTTAGATTAATGATGAAATACCATTTAAGCATTAATAGCTAGCCTACAGTGGGTCAATATTATTCATTATCAAAAATTAATAATACTGAATATTATTTGTTTTATTAGTATAATAGTAGCTTAATTTTTTAATGAAACAGAAAAAAATATTTTTCCATACAAACATAATAGATTATAAATAAGACTTACAGAAATTATTCTATGTAATCAAAAATAATTTAAACTATTAAATGTTTCATTATATTGTAAATTAATTTCTTTAATTGTCTTTTAATTAAAAAGTATCAATCTTATAAGTTAGGCATCATATTTATTTTAAAGAAAGACTAATTCATTCTAAAATATAGTTAAATAAATATTTTATGTGTATTCATATACAAATTGCTAATATAAAAAGAGAGTTTAAAAATATAGTTTACTTAAATAAATTAGTTAATCAATACTAAATATATATTTCCCATTAATAATTTATAATTAAGATAAAACTCTGATTTTCTTAAGGTAGACATTTCAAATTTGAATACACAAACAGAAAAATGATTGATAATTAATTATTAATTGTTTAGTAATTAAACTCACATTGATTAATATTTGGAGCAATATCAAAAATTGTAAAAGGTTGAATATTTGGGGGAAAAAGAAAGAAACAAATATTCATAAACATACACAAACTTTCTGAAAATAGAAGATTGATTAAAAGCTTTAGTTATGAATATTATTCAAAATTAATTTCAGGAATATTTTTCATGTCTTATTTTAATTTTTGTAAAGCAGCTCTCTCTTTTGTTTGAGTTAATTAAACAAATAGTGTTTTATTTTATCATTTTTAATTTTGTTCAAAATAAGAATACTTATCAGTTTCTAATAAATAATTAAAATCGAATTTAGTACTATTTATAATCCCAAGCTTGATATTTAATTGAAGAAAATTTGAAAAGAATTGAAGATAAAATGGGCATAAGGTATTTTCTTTGATTGAACATCTTTTTCCCAACATAAATAATTAACATACTATGCTTGTTAATCATGGATTCTTTTATAAAACTCAAGATAACCTTAAGAATTACAGCTCTGCCAACACCTATTACATTCGATTTCCTAATGGCTCTATTAATTAATCTTTAAAATAAAGAATAGGCCAGGAAATTAATATCCAGGATATGCAAAATCAAGGAACCATCCACCTATTCAAACTATAAACCTTTAATGATATGATAAAGACTTCTCAGCTATGAAAATTTTTAAGAATCAAAAATATAAGTGAAGCACCAAGCGATTTAAAAGGATATTACAGAATAGAATGTTTGAAAGATGCACCAATAGACGACTAAATTACTTTAAAAATAAAATTGATTAAAATCGCTACCTATAACAAACTACTCACTTTCTCTTAAGATTCACCTGACCATTCCCTAATAAAGATTTAATTCCATATTCATTTCTAAAGATCCAGAAATGATACTAACTCAAGTTTAATAAAATCTAAGCATATGAACTTAACCGCAATGCAATCAAAAAATATGAAAACATCATTTACTTCTCTCATTCTATATTTAACAAAAATCAGAGTATTTCTGAAAGCAAATAAACTAAGACATGTTTTTTAAATTAACTGCAGAGATGATGATGAATTCTGGAAATGAATTTTTATATAATTATTGAGATTAAATTGGGAACTTTTCAATTAAGCCCAACTCTTGCTTATATATCCGAAAAAATTATATAAACATTATTGAATTACAAGATTAATATCCAAATATATCAAATAAGTTAATTTGCATTTGCACTTAATAATCACTATTAAATGAAATCTGGAAATTATCCTCTATATTTCCATTAGATAAATAATTGCCTTTTATTCCAAAGTATCACATAATTTCATCAGCTCAACTTTTTACGTTTTAAAAAAATATTTAGAGATAAGATCTCATCCAAACCTCTAAAGATATATAATAACAGACTTACTTATTTACAAAACGATATTTCATAAATAGCAGAGCTGCCCTGAATAAAGAAACAATTGCATCTAAATTAATTTTTCCTTTAATAATTTCAACATAAAAAATCTTGGATCATCTATTAATCCTAGGTAACAAAAATTTTTTTTCTAACCATTACATACTAACCAGCACTCTTTTGTTAAATATCCGACTCTCAAAAGTATGAATGGATTCAAAAAAGATTTAAGTGGCACAATCGCCAACTACAACAGAGACTTACATCCTACAAAATTAAATTTACCTTACTCCTCAATAGCTTAGTTTTTTATTAAGTTTAAAAAATTTAGAAGAAATTCTATATATTTATTAAAAAAACTATGAAAATTATCTAAACATATTTAATAAAACTCATTGAATCTATAATTGAAAAACCAAAAAAATAAGTTTTTGTAAAAGGGGGAATAAGTCCATTTAATTGTTTTAAATTTAATTATACCAAATAATCTTTTTTAACAAAAAGAAGTTACTCTATGATTTTAATGATATTTGAAAATAGAAAATAAATAATCACATGATATGGCATTTATTATCTAACAGTTTTTCACATTCAGCTTTTCATAGGAAAAAGTAAATTACCTTTCTTAGCTTAAGTCCATTATTAATTTGGATTGATTTTAATAATATTATTGTAAAAATCAATTGCTTCTTGGTATTTTTATAATGATTGTAAACAAGCACCTATCGATATAAAACAAAAAATACCTTTGCTAACTAAGAAAGGCTTAGAATTAGGTTAAATTTGCAAAGCTTAGTTTAAAAAAGTAACTGCTTCAGTATATCTACCCAATAGTCTTAATGAATCACCTAGAAAATAAAAACTAAAACGACCTTTTGTATGCATAGCATTTAGATTTTTAGAATCAATTTACAAAGCTTTATCAGCCCATAAAATTGCATCATCATATTTACCAAGCATTCGTAGACTATCAGCTAATAAAGAGAATGTTTATTATAAATACCTTTAGTATATAATAAATTCACATGCTTGGAATTAATTTCCAACGCTTTATCAGCCCATAAAATTGCATCATCATATTTACCAAGCATTCGTAGGCTATCAGCTAATAAAAAGAAAGTTTATTATAATTACATTTAATATATAATAAATCCACATGATTAGAATCAATTTACAAAGCTTTATCAGCCCATAAAATCGCATCATCATATTTACCAAGCATTCGTAAACTAGAAGCTTATAAATTAAATGTTTATTATAATTACCTTTAGTATATAATAAATCCACATGCTTGGAATCAATTTACAAAGCTTTATCAGCCCATAAAATTGCTTCATCATATTTACCAAGCATTCGTAGACTATCAGCTAATAAAGAGAATGTTTATTATAAATACCTTTAGTATATAATAAATCCACATGCTTGGAATCAATTTACAAAGCTTTATCAGCCCATAAAATTGCATCATCATATTTATCAGAAATTCGTAGACATTCAGCTAATAAAGAGAATGTTAATAATAATTATATTTAGTGTATATTGAATTCAAATGCTTTGAATCTATTTCCAACGCTTTATCAGCCCATAAAATTGCATCATCATATTTACCAAGCATTCGTAGACATTCAGCTAATAATTACATTTAGTAAATAATGAATTTAAATGCTTGGAATCAATTTCCAACGCTTTATCAGCCTATAAAATTGCTTCATCATATTTACCAAGCATTCGTAGACTATCAGCTAATAAATAAAGTAGAAGAATTTATTACCTTTCATAACCAATGATAAAAAATGATTTTTATTATTAAGCAAGGCATAATCAAAATAATATATAGCTTCCTCATATTGATTATAATTTTTATACAATAATTATCCTTATTTTAATACTTTAATACCTTTTTAATAAAACTCTTCGGCTTAAAGAAGTTGCTCTTGAGTGATTTATGAATAATTAATTTATTCTAGTTTCAATTCTTAAATTTACGCGTTCAATTAATTATTCAACTAATTTGAATATTTTTCTACACATTCTTGTAAATTTTTTGTATTTTCACTATATTTAACAATTTAATCAAGAGCTTAATTCAATTAATTTGCATTCATTTTTTATAATCTCTGTTTTTTTATTTGATATTTTTATTTCAATCCTTAATTTAATTAAGCCAATGATTCATTAATTTTCCCAATCATTAAATTTAGCTTTTCAATTAAACTTTCGCTTTATTTCTCAATATTTTGAAACAATTCTATTAATTTATTTAAATCATATTGATCATTCAGATGGTCTGCGTGATATCCATTTAAAAGACATTAGAAACAATAAACTCTATTCGCTGAACATGCATCATTTATGCAAACTAATTAAACATGACTGTCATGTTCTTTAATTGAACATTGTATTTAAAGTTCTATATTTTAATCCATATTTTTAATATTATTTATAATAATAATTA